TGCTGCTGTAAACAGTATCGCCCCAAAAAAATGTGGCAAGTCCATGCATTTCGTCAAACTTTGTAATTTTCAATATTGCAAACATGACCTCACATTTACGGTGTTATTGTGGTAGGGATGTATCAAATCTAAAATCAAACTACAGGGTCTTAAAGTAGAGATCTCAAGCTTTAATTTAAAAAAAAGAGCATAACTTTGCGATGATTTTTCACGGAGTTATCATCAGTCGAATTTGGCCAATTTTTGCCTAAAATTTTTCTATGCCATATTTCTTTTGAGCAGTGTATTCAAACCAAAATTGGACTGATCAGTTTAATGTCTGCAGTGAAGTACAATTAATGCAAAACGATGATTATGATCATATCACTCCATACGAATTAATTCATTTTAACACGATTAAGGCTACTCGATTACCCAATAGGTTCGAAATACGCCGGCTAAATGCGTTCATCGGTTTCAATATGAAAACCGTCAAATAAGAATGGAAAATCGAACACGTGTCTAAAAATACACTACGATATTGTCTGCTCCCATTCAATCATCCATATACAATAAACATTCGATATTTGCGAAAATTACCTGTACGATATGTGCAAAAAAGTTAGTCCACCACTGAGGTAAAAACATGTGTATATTAGTGACATTTTCCTTATAAAACTGATATCAAACACGATAAAATTTGTACTACATCTACGAGTTTAATTAACCACAAATGTTCCCAACGAAGAGGCAAATAGCAAATGAAAAAGGAAGACACTGTTATCGTGACAGGCAGCAAAGCTCAAATGTCTGTTCTATTATTTTCAATACCGATACGTTGCAAACCTTTATTTTCAGTCCTTATTTCATACAATTTTTATCAAAATATTCATGACATTTTCCCGATTAAAATGATACCAAACACGACATAATTCGAAACACATTTATAATAATTTATTAGAGTGATTCGATATAAGCGAAACTTGGAATTACAGGTAAGTGTCCCAAATTGCGTCGTGTTTGGTCTCATTTCAATCAGGAAAATGTCACAAATATGTTGGGAAAAGTTTCATAAGAAAAAAATCAAAAATAAAAAATTTTTATTCTTGCATTAGGATTGCCCCACCGATTTCATGCTGACTTGTTTACATTCGGTCTTCGCTCGCTGTTGTCATTTTCATCGCCAAAACATCAATCAATCGACCTATACGAAGTGAACGAAAATTCAGACCCAAGGGATTCGCAGACGTCGAATATTTACTGTCTTTATCTTCGCTAACCACGCAGCAATTGTATTCAACATATTTACTATTCACACATTAATACTTGTTAGATCGGTACAAAATTCTATTAAATATTCCAATATTAAAATTGTTAAAATTGAAATGAGAAGTTAACAAGGGGTTGAAATATTCGTATTTTTATAATAATCTTTGAACCAAATTTTAAATTAGAAGCTATATAACAAATATAACTTGTTGCAAAAAACAAGAAATATTTTTTATAATTTCAACTATAAAATTTGCAAATCACATGTGTTCAATAAAATTTAATATGTTCTATAGTATGAAGTATGTTCAATATACAGTAACATGTATATTAACATAAAATTTAACATGTTCATAGTATGTAGAAGATATATCAATGAAATATTCAATAAAATACGAAGACTGAATATTTCACATTGCAAAGTAGTCGACAGGTTAAAACACATACCGCTACTCTGTTAAAATCAGATCAAACTTGAATCCTAATCTAACATCTTCCTCAAACAAGAAAAAGCACTAAAGTCTCCAACATCCTCAATAAACCATCCCCCTTTCAATACCTCTTCATAATCTCACTCTCCCTTAATTCCCACAAATCACGTTTCACGAGCACCTAAACACTCACACGTAACAAAAAGCCTGAATGAACTTACCATCGTCGATATAGGGGCTACCAAGGGTCCCATCAGCGAGGACCACCAGCAAGAAGAACAACCACAACAAACAGAACTTCATGACTTCGTTCGGATAGTGCTGCTTGTAAACGATTGATCCTTGCTGAGAGTTCCGGCTCGAGGCGAGAAGGATAGTTCCCGTGGATGTCGTGTACCTTATCCTGGCCGTGGCCGGGGTGCAAGTGAGGTTTCCACATCGGAGTAGCAGCTTATATAGACACAGGAGGCGTGGCGATTTCCCCCCACGAGGATCTCGTTGCAGAGGGTGAGATCTCCAGGAAGATAAGACTCGGCTCCACGGTCGTTCGTGGTGTCTGAACACCGTTCCAGTGGTTATACTTGGCCACCCGAAGGGGTGGAAGAACAAGAGAGGGATTCTTCGAGGATGAGTACGCCACCCCGACGAAAGGCTACCACCCTTTACCAAGAGCAACTGGTTGCGAAGCAACTGGTACTCTCGCTCTGCCTATCGCGATTATGTGATCTTAACCCTCTAAATCATTGCTAAGGGTGAAGTTAAACTGAGGACCGATTTTTGGAACCTCTCGTGGAAAATTGACACACTCCTTGTTTATCTATTTTTAGGAGTGAAGTTTGGTGATAAACTCAGGACTGATTTTTGAAACCTCTCGTGGAAACTTGATACCCTCCTTGTTTGTCTATTGCTAAGGGTGAAGTCAAACTCAGTACTGATTTTTGGAACCTCTCCTAGAAAATTGGTACGCTTCTTGTTTATCTATTGTCAAGGGTAAAGTCTGCTGACAAACTCAGGACTGATTTTTGGAACTTCTCATGGAAAATTGACACACTCCTTGTTTATCTATTTTTAGGAGTAAAGTCTGGTGATAAACACAGGACTGATTTTTGAAACCCCTCCTAGAAAATTAGTACGCTCCTTGTTTATCTATTGTTAAGGGTAAAGTCTGCTGACAAACTCAGGACTGATTTTTGGAGCCTCTCGTGGAAAATTGACACACTCCTTGTTTATCTATTTTTAGGAGTGAAGTTTGGTGATAAACTCAGGACTGATTTTTGAAACCTCTCGTGGAAACTTGATACCCTCCTTGTTTGTCTATTGCTAAGGGTGAAGTCAAACTCAGTACTGATTTTTGAAACCCCTCCTAGAAAATTGGTACGCTCCTTGTTTATCTATTGTTAAGGGTAAAATCTGCTGACAAACTCAGGACTCTTTCTTGGAACTTCTCATGGAAAATTGATATGCCCTTTGTTTGTCTATTGCTAAGAGTGAAGTCAAACTCAGTACTGATTTTTGGAACCTCTCTTACTAAATTGGTACACTCCTTGTTTAGCTATTGTTAAGGATAAAGTCTGCTGACAAATTGATGACTGATTTTTGGAATCTCTCATGGAAAATTCATATGCTTCTTACTTATCCACTGCTAGGGTGAAGTCTGCTGACAAACTCAGTACTGATTTTTGAAACCCCTCCTAGAAAATTGGTACGTTCCTTGTTTATCTATTGTTAAGGGTAAAATTTGCTGACAAACTCAGGACTGATTTTTGAAACTTCTAATGGAAAATTCATATGCTTCTTGTTTATCTACTGATAGGATGAAATCGACTGACAAACTCAGGACTGATTTTTGGTATTTCGCGTGGAAAATTGATATGCACCTTGTCTGTCCATTGCAAGGTTGAATCCACTGACAAACTCAGGACAGATTTTTGAAACCTCTCGTAGAAAATTGATATCTCGTTTATCTTATGCTCGCATCTGAACTTTCATGTCTATCGTGCATGTCTGTCTTTCGTATAGGTTCTATGTTGATTGATGTTTTGCAGTGAATCCCAATCCACAGTCGCTGAGAAAATAACAATATGTCGAATTAATAAAATTTTCTAAAAATTAGAGAATTAGAAAATTTTCGAAAATTGGAATATTTAATAGAATTTTATACCCACCTAACAAATATTAATGCGTGAATAGTAAATATATTGAATACAATTGCTGCGTGGTTAGAGAAGATAAAAACAGTAAATATTCGATGTCTGCGAATGCCTTGGGTCTGAATTTTCGTTCACTTCGTACAGGTCGATTGATTGATGTTTTGCGGATGAAAATGACAGCTAGCAAAGACCGAACGTAAACAAGACAGCATCAAATCGGTGGGGCATTCCTAATGCAAGAATAAAAATTTTTTATTTTTGATTTTTTTCTTATGAAACTTTTCCCAACATATTTGTGACATTTTCCTGATTGAAATGAGACCAAACACGACGTAATTTGGGACGCTTACATGTAATTCCAAATTTCGCTTATATCGAATCGCTCTAATAGATTATTATAAATATGTCTCCAATTGTGTCGTGTTTGGTATCATTTTAGTCGGGAAAATGTCACGAATATTTTGATAAAAATTGTATGAAACAAGGACTGAAAATAAAGGTTTGCAAGGTATTGGTATTGAAAACAATAGAACAGACATTTGATCTTTGCGGCCTGTCACAATAGAAGCGTCTTCCTTTTTCACTCGTTATCCGCCTCTGCGTTGGGAACATTTGTGGTTAATTAAACTCGCAGATATGTTGCAAATTATATCGTGTTTGGTTTCAGTTTTATAAGGAAAATGTCACAAATTAACATATGTTTTTCCTCAGTGGTGAAACTAACTTCTTTGCATATATCGTACAGGTAATTTTCGCAGATATCGAAATCTTTTGTACATAATATGATCACATTCTTATCACTACAAGATTGTATAAGATTACAATGTACTTATAATGTGTACGTTAGTTGAAGTACAAGAAAGCATGAAGTATTGCAATATATTATAATAATATGTAGGTTAGCATTAATGAAATTCCACCTCAATGTAAAAAATACACAAAAAGTAAAGTGACAATTGTCCATACTATAATTACAATAGTTCCATACTGTGAAACGACTGTTAAATTTGTAAAAAATACACACTTTTATTTATAACAAAATAAATTACAATTTTTGACAAAATAGGAAGAGGTAACTTTGCACGTTGTTCGCCATGATGGCTGCGATCTGTTCTGCAAATTCAGTTAAATTAATTATTTGCAGCAAATGAAGAACCTTTTAAGAACTCTCGATCTTGAAACAATGATGTACTAACAGATTAAAAAATTAAATTGCAAGATTAATTTATTGTAATGTAATTTTCATTCTAGTGTGTCTGACCACAAACGTCAGTTTCTACTGCGGAGATTACTGGTTAATTTTTTCAACAAAAAATTATTTTTTCCAAAAACCGTTTACATAGATTTGTAAATCTAAGGAAACAGTATAACTTTTGTTTCAAACATTTTTCAATATTTTCTGCCGTTTATTATTTATAAGCACTTACATAGGTAGCAATAATTGGTAACCACTGCAATATTGAATGAAGTTAAAATTTTGAAATGTCGTGTCAATTTTGTTTCCGGAAAATTATAAGTGGATTGAAACTTCAAATTGAAGCAAGCTAAAATTCGAACAACATTTATCACCTCTGAACTGTGAGTGCGTGACAAGTCGTTAGAGTACGGTAAGGGGTTAATTAATAAAAAACACTTTTATTCGTTACAGTATGTTTTAGCATGATTATTTCTGTGGAAGTAATGGATTTCTTAAAAGACTAGTGTATCATCAATTTAATCGATATGGAATTGTAATGTCGAGGTCGACTATGAACATAGTCGTAGTTCACTAGTAGAAAGATAAAATGTAACAATTTACTTTTTAATCAAATATAATATAATTTTAAATATAACGTTAGTAAGAAATATTATTATAAATGATATTAGAAATTATTTTGATATAAATATTGATCGCTGAAACATTAAAGCACAAATTGTTCTTACTTTTATATTTGTATTTAAAAAAAGCGATCTTGAATTTTTCACCTACTTCATACAATACTCCAGATAAAAATTCAGTGGAAGTTTATTTCGGAAGTAATTCTATACGATTCGATTTACAAGTGTTTGCAATGTGATGCCCTTAGCAAACGGTAATATGATTCTATTTAAAATTACAGAAGAAACGCAATTTAATTCTAATTTGGCATTGAGTTCTGTTTGATTCTATCTTTCAAGATATTTTTATGAAATATCGTTGATTTCATATAATTTTGTCTTACAAGAAAATTAAATTAAATTCCAGTAAAAAATTTAAACCTTTGGAAAAGTAAATAATAATTAATAATATTTCACATTCAAAATTAATTAATTAATAATTCAAAAAGAAAAATATTTAAGATAGAAATTCAACGTCTTCAAATTGTCAATTTTTTGATACTGTTTAATGAAAGAAAATATGTGAAAATTTTTGCAAATATCACATTGGTACATTTTTATCTTTTTCGTGTTCTTCATTTAATTATAGTAAATGGATTTGATTTAATTACAGTGAAAGGAACGAAATTTAAAATGAATAAGTAACATAAAGTGACCAAGTTAGAAATACAGTTTTATGTTATGTTTAATTCTTTTTAACTATTTATTCAATTAAAATAAATAAATAAATAAACCGTTCCACATATTCAGTATTTACTAAATTTATTTTCCTAACTGAAATAGTAATTCTGTAGTATTAATTAATAATAGACCTCAAAGTGTAAGAAGAAGTAAAATCAAATCAACTGATTAATATATTAAAATTGACTTTTATTTATTTTCCTTTTTCTAAAATAATTACCTAACAATTTTTTAATTTCACATCAAAATAATTTGAAGATGTGTCTACACTCAATAAATTATTTAAACCAGTTATATAATAAATGATATAAAGTCAAAATACCTCAAATGTTGCTGTCGAAATATAAAAATACGTTCTTAAAGTTTAATACATTCAAATAAAAAAAAAGGAATAAATAAACGTATTTTAGAATATAGTAGAACGACGTGTTAACGTGGTTATTAATTAGCATCTTAATTGTTTCCAAAACTACTTTGATGTAACTCCTTGCGCGACTCTATCGCATGACTGGTTACCCGACATCTTGATAAAGGTCACATGGTGGGTTAACAAGGTTCTAAAGTTTGTTCGATCGCTTGAAAACAATTTCGTAATATTACCTTACTAGCTATCAATAAATTTATGCATTTCAATCGTTCAATCTCTATTAAATACTTTATTTTTGAAATGAGGTTATGTTATGGAAAGTAAAATCGTATGGCTTTGTGGAGGATTTTGGGAATATTAGAAATATTGAAGATTATAAACTAATAATTATGAATAATAAATATTATTGGAGATATTAGACGTATTAAAATATTAAAGTTTAAAATATTAGGATCTAAAGGATTAAGATTTAAAATATTAGAATGTGGAATATTCAAATCTAAAGTATTAGAATGTAAAATATTAAAATCTAAAATATCAAACTCTAAAATATTAAAATCTAAAAAAATTAAAATCTGAAATATTAAAACCTAAAATATTAAACTCTTAAATATTAAAATCTAAAAAAATTGAAATCTGAAACATTAAAACCTAAAATATTAAACTCTTAAATATTAAAATCTAAAAAAATAAAAATCTGAAATACTAAAACCTAAAATATTACATTCAAAAATACCAATCCTAAAAATATTGAATTACAAGCTTAAAAATAATTTACAAAAATGGTAAAAATCTTATTAAAAATTGTGTAAATAACTTGTTCTTTCTATTACTCCCCCTAAAGTTACAAGTCAAATATTTAAAACACAAAGCAATTTAATCGAACCGTATCAATTTAAACAAATCTCATATTTTTAACAAAGCCATAAATTATACATAACCTTTCGTTACAACTGAATTTCAGAATTTGTCAATATAAAACTACTAACAAATTTTACACCAAATTGTTTCAACCAAAACAAAAACAAATCGATTCAATGTTTCATCAGCAATCTCCCATTTCAACGAGGACCCAAAAAATGTTTTTTTTTAAAACTCTCTACAAACCTTTTGCTACACGCATTCGATATTTTGCGTAAATTACATAGTATCTGTATGGAAAACAATGTCATCGATATTGCGTAACTCAGATGGCGGACAATCGTTTAGATAGTATACAGAATAAAATCGCTCAATCGTGATTATTGCGCATTGTTTGCCAGTTATGACAAGGGTCCTTCAGTTGAATACGTATAATCATTGTACCAAACGCACAGGGTGTTTCATTTCGATCTGTTAATCGGATGATTTTGTGATGGGCGCAAAATAGTTCACGGATTTTAGCTGTAATAAAAAATGAAACGTTAGCAAATTCGTTGGAAACAATAATGAAAGAAAATATAACAATTTTTCTACTAGAAGTGTGATTTTATATAATAAAAAAATAAAGGATAGGTAGATTCATCAGAGTGGCAAAAATGAAAGTAAATACAATATTTTTTCTATGAGACATTTTTATATAATAAATAATAAGACATACACTACCGTCCATAAGTATCCGGACACTTGGTTTCGTTACATAAAACACAGTTGAACTTTGCACGAAAGGTATTTAGGATTATCATATCATTTGTAATAATTATTATTATCTTTTTTGAGGTGTCATAACATAATAGAATTAATTTTTAAGTACAAATTATACAATGAGAGTGTGAAAGTAAAATTCATGTCCAGAAGTACAAAGTCAAAATTTGTGAATCCAATGAAACGCTTTCGATTCTAAAAAAAATTTTAATTTCTACTGTGATCATTTCTATGGTGCAGAATGTATTCAGAGGGTTCTTCGATATGTTTCAAGTGTTTGCAAACTGTTGGTAGATGTTTAGGTTCCCTCAATGGAGATAAGAATGAAAGGTAACGCAACGCACTCGACAGTTTCGGTTTAGTTCGTCTGTAGCTTCTTTTCCATCGAGATATGAGTTCCAAACGAGAATTATTAATCGAAAAACGTTCCAGTATTCTGACCTTCGCAGAAAAAAATCGATTTTAGTTACTGTTGTAGATACTTGAATAACTTTCATGCAACGCGAATGCATATTTCGCTTGTGTCCGGATACTTATGGACGGTAGTGTAAGCAAGTTTGTCAGACATAATAATGGAGATGAATAGAATAATTTTTAAAAATGTATTTTTATATAATAAAAAATGAAACGGGAGTAGATTTATTAAAAACAAGGACAATGGAAGACAACACTGCAGTTTTTCTGCTAGAAGCATGATGTTGTATAATAAAAAAATAAATCGTAGGCAGAGGAAAAAATAAAGATACTGTATTTAAGTTCTTGTAGAAAAAATAAATACAATGTTTTTTCTAAAATAAATACAATATATTTTCTACGAGAAATTTTTATGCAATAAAAAATAAAACATAAGTAGAATCATCAGATTCATATTTTTATATAATAGAAACTAAATAAACGTAAATTCGTCAGAGACAATAATGAAGATAAATTCAATATTTTTTCTACTAAAATAATATTTTTATAATTACAATGTAAACTAGTAGTAATGTGAACATTATTTATTTACACCCAATTTTTCTATGAAATACAACAATTTTGACAAACCACGACAAAATAACAAAAAACGAATAATTACAAATAAACTGGTTCTAAATGAAACAATAATATCACATCTCTTCTGTTTCTAACATCGGACCGTTTAATTATAATGCATTTAACTGTTTAATTGAGAATAAACTTTTACACTCGCGCTAAAATACATTTAAATGCATTTAAAACGTTCCAAAATAAAAACCTTGTTTGTTGAGAAAACGCTTCAATCGAAAAACACGTTAATCATTAAAATTCTCGTCAGAATAAAATACTACAAAGTTTCATGTACAACGTGTATACGTTATATATGAAAGTTTTATATATTTAGATTTGTATACCAAAAAATAATTGGTATAGCAATAATTGTTATTTCAACAAAACAGTTTTTGTATTTTATTTTGAAGTACTCGAAATGATTAGAATTGTTTGAATATTTTAAAAATGTTTACTAAAATGGAATATAGAGAATTTACATTTGCAGTGAAATCATCTTCAATATTATCATTATTAAATAATCTTTAATTTCATTGTTATTCTATAATTTTTAATTTTATCATTATTCTATAATTTTTAATTTTATCATTATTCTATAATCTTTAATTTCATCATTATTCTATAATCTTTAATTTCATCATTATTCTATAATCTTTAATTTCATCATTATTCTATAATCTTTAATTTCATCATTATTCTATAATTTTTAATTTTATCATTATTCTATAATCTATAATTTCGTCATTATTAATTAATCTTTAATTTCATCATTATTAAATAAACTATAATTTCATCATTATTTAACCTTTAACTATAACATTATTCTTTAATCTTCAATTGTATCACTAGTTTCTAATCTTCAATTTCATCATTTTATTTTTAATTGCAAAACTTAATAAGACTCCTAGGACAACTCGATCTGCATTTATTCATTTTTCTGTTTGTTTGCTACAGGTATTGTCTGCAATTTTGAGTCTTCCCACTTGAAATTTTGAGGTTAGCCTCGTGACACATCCTAAATTGGCTGTATAAATTTTGGTGGCGATCTGGCGACAGGAACCTGTCGTCATTGACGTCGATCGTCAAATCGAAAAAAAACCATGTCGGTATCGTTTTCGATAATTTTTTACGCACACAATCGACTGGAAGCACGTTAAAAGCTCTATAACTCATCGGTGACGACAATACTTGGTCATTGACGTCAGTCGACGAAAAATGAACAATAGTATTCAGTATCGTTTTCGATAGTTTCAGACCCGTTTAATTGTTTGTAATGACTTAGAAATCTTTACATCACATTCTTGTTTCACTTTCATTTCATTTTGTTTCTTGTTATTTACACATACGTTTGTAATAGGTAAATTTTAAATACGTGTGCGAATTTATTTGGGACACCTGGTCTATAGAACCACTAGTTTTAGCATTCTTTGGTGCGATTATAAGATTAATACGATGGATTATACGATTGATAGATAATTGATAAATAGATTAAGCTAATTATACGGAAATGCAATCGAAGAAATATAACGCATACAGAAATTCATAACAGAAAACGTAAACGTTTCTCGTAAATAAAAGACGAAGATAAAGAATAGGGAAATGGGAACAAGGACATGGGTTAGGGGAAGAAGAAGCATTTGTCTTCGGATAAAGGCTCGCAAGCGAGTCGTGTGAGTAAACAGTGAGAGGATGAAGAAGTAAAGGGATAGAGTACAAATTGCTTCTTCTGGCAGATGAACTGTGATACATAGACATTGTCTGGATACGAGAGCCGATTTTCTAACATCACTAAAGGAAGCCAATTTTGTTCAAGAGTAATCAGTTGTTACGTGATAAATAGATTATAAGGAAATATCTTAATTAATAGAGTTTTGTAAGCGGAGTTTGATCATCTTCAGCTACCTGTATGAAATCAGAAGATAATGGATTAAATTAAAAAATTTGTGAAATTGAAATTATAGAATTCCAAACCCCCAGTTCTCAATATTCTTTAATTTCCAAAGTTCTCAAACTTCCAAATCTCTCAAGTTCCAAATTCTCAAATTTCCAAATCTCTCAAGTACCAAATTCTCAAATTTCCAAATCTCTCAAGTACCAAATTCTCAAATTTCCAAACCTCTCAAATTCCAAGTTCTCAAATTTCCAAATCTCTCAAGTACCAAATTCTCAAATTTCCAAACCTCTCAAATTCCAAGTTCTCAAATTTCCAAATCTCTCAAGTACCAAATTCTCAAATTTCCAAATCTCTCAAGTACCAAATTCTCAAATTACCATATCTCTCAAGTCCCAAATTCTCAAATTTCCCAATCTCTCAAATTCCAAATTCTCAAATTTCCATATCTCTCAAGTCCCAAATTCGCAAATTTCCAAATCTCTCAAGTCCCAAATTCTCAAATTTCCAAATCTCTGAAATTCTAAATTCTTAAATTTCCAAATCTCTCAAAATTCCAAATTCGCAAATTTCCAAATCTCTCAAATTCCAAATTTTCAAATTTCCAAATCTCCAAGTCCCAAACTCTCAAATATCCAAAACACCATAACTCTGCTTCCCCACAAAAATAAAAAAATACATAAATAAAAAAATCCTCAAATTCTAAATTCTAAAATCTCCAAATTCCCTAATCATCAAATTTCAAACTTCCCTAAAATCTCCCCGCTCTCAAAAAACTATGCTCCACCCACACTTTAACCCAACAAACCACCCCCTCGTACTTCGTAAGCTCACAAATTGCCGTTTGAAAATAATTACGCTCCAATTTAATTTCAACTAGCTTTAATTTCATACTACCTGAATTTATGCAAACTTTATTGTATCAATTACTTCCCTCTATCTTTGCACCCTGTACGCAAAGAAATTCCTGTTACCAAACGCAAAAGAATATTCATTCAACCGCGTGGCTACCGCGCACGCTCGAAATACCGATATCAAAGAGCTTCAGAGTTCAGTTAAACCGTCGGTGTCTGTTTTTTAATCCTCTTTAAGAGAAGAAAAAAAAGTGCGAGAAAGAGAGAACGGAGCAGGAAAAAGCGTAGGCGAGTCGCATAAACAAGGACACACCTATCGCAGGGAAATTTGATGTCGTGTCCTAATTGGCATTTATAGTACACAAGGGTGCCGTGCCTCACCTCTTGTTATATCGTTTCCATAATGAACCACGAGAAATCGGAGGATCATTAGACTTCTTTTTTTCGACTTTCCATACGCTTTTCTGCGTCGTTAATTTTCTTCTTTTCCGATCGTTCTTTTTTATTTTGTTGTTTCACGCGTTGTGTATCGTCGCTTGGGTGTCTTTGAACAGTTGTGGGTGATAAAATTAAATGAATCAAATTAAATTGTGTTATTAAATTGTGAATGGGTGGATGTTGAATTAGGTTATGTTTAGTTGCTACGATTTGTTGAATTAGTTAAGTAGCATTGATAAGTTGAATAAGTATTGGAATACACTGTAGTTAATATTGTTAAGGTATGATTTCAATGGAAGATGAAATTGTATATTTTTTTTACTGAATAATAATTTTGTAGTAATTTTGTGGTATTATAGTGTTATAAGATTATAAAATTAAATTATTTTAATATTATGGTGTTATACATGTATGTATGTATGTATGTGTGCATGTATGTATGTATGTACGTGTAACATATGTACTTATGTACTTATGTATGCATATATGTATGTATGTATGTATATGTAACATATGCACTTATGTATACATGTATGCATGTATGTATGCATAGTAGTATTATTATGTATGTATGTATATGTAACATGTGCACTTATGTATGCATGTATGCATGTATGTATGCATAGTAGTATTATTATGTATGTATGAATGTATGTATGTGTGTACGTATGCATAATAGTATTATTATATATTTATGAAGGTATGTGTGTGTGTGTATGTATGCATAACAGTATTATTACGTATGTATGAATGTATGTATGTATGTACGTATGTATGCACAATTGTATTATTATATACTTATGAAGGTATGTGTGTGTGTATGTATGTGTAACAGTATTATGTATGTATGTATGTATGCATAATAGTGTTATTATGTATGTATGAATGTATGTATGTGTGTACGTATGTATGTATGTATGTATGTATGTACATATAATAGTATTATTATGTATGTATGCAGTACTACCACATTATACAATAATTTATAATAATTTACACTAACAATTTCCACTATTGTCTATTTCACTCTATTTATGCATATATCACATGTGTAATATTACAGAATTAGTTAAAATATTCTATAAAAATTTCTAATATTGAATTAAACCGAATGGCGTCTGGGAATCGCCTCTCGTGTGCAAAAGGATTAATTATAGACAAATTCAGTCATTAACGTCAATATTCTTTTTTAACCTTTAAAAACAGTGTTATTTTGAGCAACGACGTATTTTTATTGAGATATATTATACATATACAGAAGAAATGAAGAAGAGAAGAGATGTTGCTGGAAGTAGAGGATGAGACTCGCGATTTTGTTACGATTTATAGAAAAGATTTTCCAGCAAAGCAAGCTGAAAGGAGGAAACAATATGCACAAGGAACAGCTTTTCCTCCACCTTTGACAGCTTTAAATGGTCCTTATAAAAAGTGTTTGTATACTCGTGTACGGAATGAGAATTTACCTTTGAACGAGCAGACCGAAGATCCGCAAGAAGTTTTGGACAGAGTAAAGACGTAGTAATTTATTTGTACAAATTTTAAAATATTGTTGTATACATTAACATTTTTGACCTTATTTATTATATGAATTAATCTCTTTTATTTTTCTACATTATCTTTATACGTTATTTATTATATAAATTAATCCCATTAACAAATTAACATTTTTAACGTTATTCAATTTACAAATTAATCTCTTTAATTTTTTTCACGTTATTTATTATGCAAACTAAAATCTCGTACGTAATTCATCAAACAAATTAACCTTGTTAACAATTAGTTCCTACAAACCATTAACACCATTTATTATACAAATTAATCTCATTTGTTTGAAATAAAATTTGTCTAAAATCGAATATTATATTATAAACGTGTGCAATACCATATTATAGCATCATCGAAATTATATTGTTAGGAGTATGCAGAGTGGAAATAAAATCTCAAGTAATATTTTCTATCATTATCAATTAATATAAATAAAGAAATTGTGGTATTGTGTCCCCCGTTAATAAAAATAAAATTGTAAATTATTTAGGTTGTTGACTTTTTATGTGTTGCTGCAAAAAACTTTTCTCTTTCAATTTTCAGTGGGCGGTCATCTTGCCTGCACTTTAGTCAACAGCCACACAATTTCTCTTTTCACAAATAAGTGTTTTACAAGATTAAATTGCTATCTATTTAGTTCCATGATTTAGTAGACACAAACTTGACAACTTATCTTAATTTTCAACAAATATTTGAAATATTAAAATTAAAAAATTAGATTTTATATAGAAATTCAAAGTGTGAAGACATTTTATCACCTCTTCCTTTACCAGAAATCGATATTCAAAATAAAAATTATAATAACGCGGTAGTTTCATTAAATACTAGTTTCGTAAATACTTCTTCATAGAATTTCTATTTTGTTTAATGCCTAGATTCGCGAGAATCATCCTCGTTTTAAAGGATTTCTCCCAGAAATCATCCCAGACCAAAACCTGATCGAAAAGAAAGAAAACGAGGTTAAACACACTCGGTATCAATTGGATTATACAAAAGGTTTAACGCATTCCAAATAATTTTCAAAGTCTTTCTTACATTTTAAATAAATGTGAACAAATTAATATAATTAATATGAAAACAATATTGTTGGAAATAGGAGAGTTATCTGAGTTGCAAGTCTACGGCAAGAAGAAAGATATAGAATTACCAGAAGACTGGATTATAGCGGAAACAATTCAACGTATGTCTTATAAAAATCCATGGAAGATTGTCTCAAAAAATTTATTGTATGTCAAGAAAGCTGAAAAACCACCGAGTAATTTAGTTCCGAACGAAAAGGAACGGGAAATTCTTCGCATACGGTAATAGAATGAAGATTTTGTTCTGAAATATGCTATACTTATTTTTAATTAAATTATTTTATGCAGTATTTAGTAGGATATCAATAGTATTTTGTAAAGTGGATATACATTTTTAATATATGTACGTTATCTCTAATTTTTATATTTTACAATTTCTATATCTCAAATGTTTTTTCTCGATTTTTAAATTTACAAATTTTTATATTTTCATATTATTGTATTTTGGAATTTTTGTATTTCCAACTTTTTGGAGTTTTGAGTTACTATTGTATATTTCGAATTTCTTTGTTTTCAAATTTAGAGATTCTCGGATTAAAATATTTCCAAACTTCTATATTCTCAAATTATTGTGGTCTCAAATATCTACATGCCCCAATTTCTATATCTTCAAAATTCTACATCTTCCAATTACTATAATGCTCAAATCTGCATATTTCCAAATATCTACATCCCCCAATTAATATATCTTCAAAATTCCACATCTTCCAATTACTGTAATTCCCTATCTCTATTTTCCCAAATATCTACATCCCCCAATTTCTACATCTTCAAAATTCTTCATCTTCCAATTACTATAATCCTCAAATCTGTATATACCCAAATGTCTACATCCCCTAATTTCTATATCTTCAAAATTCTACATCTTCCAATTACTACAATCTTCAAATCTGTATATTTCCAAATATCTACATCCCCCAATTTCTACAGCTTTAAAATTCCACATCTTCCAATTACTGTAATTCCCAATCTCTATATTTCCAAATATCTACATCCCCCAATTACTATATCTTAAAAATTCCACATATTCCAATTACTGTAATTCGCAATCTCTATAATCCCAAATATCTACATCCCCCAATTTCTATATCTTTAAAATTCTTCATCTTCCAATTACTACAATCCTCAAATCTGTATATTCCTAAATATCTACATCCCCCAATTACTATATCTTCAAAATTCTTCATCTTCCAATTACTGTAATTTCCAATCTCTATTTTCCCAAATATCTACATCCCCCAATTTCTATATCTTTAAAATTCTACATCTTCCAATTACTGTAATCTGCAATCTCTATTTTCCCAAATATCTACATCTCCCAATTTCTATATCTTCAAAATTCTACATCTTCCAATTACTACAATCCTCAAATCTGTATATTCCTAAATATCTACATCCCCCAATTTCTACATCTTTAAAATTCTTCATCTTTCAATAACTATAATCCTCAAATCTGTATATTCCCAAATATCTACATCCCCCAATTACTATATCTTCAAAATTCCACATCTTCCAATTACTATACTCTCCAAATCTCTATATTCTTCAAGTCCTATAGTTCCCACGTCTCTACATTTTCAAAATTTACTTTCAAATATTTATGCATTAAAATCTCTACATTTGCAAATCTTTGTATAAATTTCAGAACTGGAGATACAGAATATGATGCCACAATCGATGACACAGGCAGTCACATACTAAAAACACGTCCCTATGGACCACCATTGGCAACCGAACCACAAATATATTCTAAAGGACCCAACAGTACGCCGTCTGAATGCTCTTTGATTCTCAAAGAAAAGAAGATCGCTCTTCCATCCAATGTATTATAATCTCCCAAAAAAGCATTAAAAAAGTGACAAAGTCATAAATTACTGGGATTTTACATTATTTCAAAATACATTACTTTTTTGAATACCAGAAGTTATGCTACACTTTTGACGCTTTATCTACCATTTGTAAATTTAAATACAATTTGTAATATAAAATATTCTGAGAGAAACTTTAGAATAAGGAAATGATATGAAAATGGCCAAAAATCTTTTTTCGAGTCGTTAAAATCCGTCGTCATACATGATTCCTTCCGAAAAAAGAAGTTTATTTGCAAAAGTTGACGTGATTTAGAGCATAACAATTGTCAGAAGAAAAGGCAAATTAATAATGGTTTGGTAAAGACAAGAGATTTTGAAGTTAATTAGTATTGCACTCAAATGTAATTTGATGCATGTCGAAGTTAATGAAGCCAATAAAATCACTGGCGGGTGGTGGCGCCGTTTATGCGTCGGGTCCCACCACCTGTCAAAGCCATAGAGGGTGGACATCACCGAGGGGTTTTAGTGAGTAAGAATCTCACACTCCCCCCGCTCCTGCCCCGGGGACTGGAGGGGTCTATGAAAATTTCCCTTCGTTAAAAAAAAAAAGCCAATAAAATCAATTCGCATTGCACTTTTTCGAAAATGAAACATGTGGCGCCATCTCTCCGGCGAACAGGATGAACTACACTCATATGAAACTGCACTTTGATTAGTTCCCAACTTCTACCACTAGATGGCAGCATAAAGGAAAACCTTGTGGGGACTGAGGTTCGCGAAGGAGAACCTGGTGTAGGAAATGACGTACGACGACTTTTCTCGCTATTTGCAAGAATTGTACTTTTTTATTAAGACGCGCACGTGCTGACTCTTTTTCTTTCGTACAAGAAGTGGAAGAACGACGTTCTTCTTTTTCGCGCCGCGTTCCTTATAAACTAGTCTTACCAACTACTATTTACAACTTAACCTAAGAAATAAAAAGTAACTAAAAATAGGAACTGTCCAGGGGGCGCATGTGACGCTGTCGGTACAGTCGCCACATCACTCCCCTCCGAGTGCGTTAACGCGCGAATGTAACTCTTTTTTTTACATAAGTCTTTGGTACGCTATTTCTTTCAGTCTCGGTAGTTTCACAAAACGCAGGTTTTAATCTATTGACCGATACATTGATTTCGCTTCCTTTATAATCAATTTTAAATATTCGATCGGTAACCCTCTGCACTACTCTAAATGGACCTTCGTAAGGCGGTTCTAAAGGTTTTCGAACTGCGTCTACTCGCAAAAATACGTGCGAACATGTATATAAATTTTTATGAGTAAATGTCTTTTGAGTGCTATGGTGCGATATTGGACTTGGTTTAATTTGTCTGATATGTTGCCTAAATTTCTCTAAAAATATTTGCGGATTTGTAGTTTCGTCTTGAGCCATGAAAAACTCTCCCGGCAATTTTATGGGAGTGCCGTATACCATTTCCGCCGCAGATGATGAATCATCAAAATTGCTTCTGTGTATTTCTTCCCATTTACCTCCTTCATAACTTTAAGTTCAAAGAGGCGATTTTTGGAAATAATTGTAGATCATTGTATTATTGGTTTGTTTGATAGAACTATGACTACTTTATTCAAAAGTGTAAATCTTTATATAATAAAGTTTGTTTTGTAAACTCATGATAATTAAATTTAATTGCTCTTAAAATTAAATTTAAATTATTAGAGAGTCATTGAAAGACATTCCTGGAACAAGTAGGAAAAGTTCTGGTTACTTCAACAAATTTTTAATAGAAATAAATGTTTAAACTATGCACTGTACGAATATACATTGTATAATCATGTGCGATACAGATAAATGCAAAATTGTATAGCCAAGTTAGATTTGGCTGACCACCAAGAACAATCTACTTACTTTGACTCCTTGACTACGGCAGATTTTAATGCCCAACAGTCGTGCCACACGACAGTAACTAAGTTACGAAAGATTTTTGTGAAAACGTCTTTCAATAATAAAAAAATTGAATTTCGCTACATTAAAACAATATTATTTATTTGTTTGAACTAAATTAGTATAAATATTACGACTTTATTATTAATGTAAAGTGTCAGAAAGCCAAATTGCGAAATTGCTAAATTGTGCCCACAGTAGGTAAAGGGTTAACAACTTTGAAAGATTTGACAAGTAGGGCTAATTAAAATTTAGTAAACTGACAATTGTTCGCAAGTTCTATCTGTGTTCTTTAATTGAGCGAAGCTCTTATACTTGACATTGCAACTTTGTCCGTGTTTTTCTTTTGCACCACTCAACCAATTCCCATCAAATTTTGCACGCACATGCGTATGTACATCCAGATGGATATAGAAAAAAAAATTTTAAATCGGACTTGCCACGAAGGAATAATCACCGAAAAATCTGATCCTCATAGACTTCAGCATTGCGATACGTACATGAGCTGCCTATGTCAATTCTACTGCGTATGCAAAGTGTAATATTTCGGCACTTTGGCGATGTAGTATGGTTCCTGAGGCATTTGGAAATAAATTTCTATTAGGGTTTGATGCGTTTTGATGCCTAATAAAGCCAGAAAATCAATTGTTGTTCAATTCGGTCCAAAACGGTACGGGTGGCGTCATCTAGCGGCGAGTGGCGGAACTACGAAAAATTAAAATTTCTATTTTCTCCGAAATTAGGCAATTTTACGTATTTCTGAGGATCAGAAATTGTTCTGTAACCTCTCTAGAACCTATATAATGCCCCAATAACCTCCTCAGAGCGCTAGAAAAGAAAATAAAAAAGTTGGTCAAAACATGGACTAAAAAATTTGCGTCCATCTAGCGGTGACAGTTGGAACTACAAAAATATAAAAATGCGATTTTCTCGAAAATTAGTGAACTTTTAGTACTTCTGAGGCTGAGAAAGTGTTATGTGACCGCATTAGAAGCAAAATAATGCAATAAAAATTTCCTGAAAGCTTTAATAAAGAAAATAAAAAAATGTCATTTTATGGAGAAAATTTGTGGCGCTATCTAGCGGTGAAACTGCGAACTAAACTGAAAAAACGTATGTCCGAACATGCACTAAAGGGGTCAAATAAAAATTGATTTTCTGGCCTTAATAGGCCAAAAAATGAGTAATTTATTCAACAAAAGTTGCTTTAAAATGTCTAAAGAAACATACTACGTTGTCAAAATTGCAAAATATTACTTTTCGTATTTTTCCTTAACGCGTGTACAGACATACGTGTTTTCAGTTTAGTTCGCAGTTTCGCCGCTAGATGGCGCAACAAATTTTCTTCATAAAATGACATTTTTTTAATTTCCTTTATTAAAGCTTTCAGGAAATTTTTATTGCATTATTTTGCTTCTAATGCGGTCACATAACACTTTCTCAGCCTCAGAAGTACTCAAACTTCGCTAATTTTCGAGAAAATCGCATTTTTATATTTTTGTAGTTCCAACTTTCGCCGCTAGATGGACGCCAATTTTTTAGTCCATGTTTTGACCAACTTTTTTATTTTCTTTTCTAGCGCTCTGAGGAGGTTATTGGGGCATTATATAGGTTCTAGAGAGGTTACAGAACAATTTCTGATCCTCAGAAATACGTAAAATTGCCTAATTTCGGAGAAAATAGAAATTTTAATTTTTCGTAGTTCCGCCACTCGCCGCTAGATGACGCCACCCGTACCGTTTTGGACCGAATTGAACAACAATTGATTTTCTGGCTTTATTAGGCATCAAAACGCATCAAACCCTAATAGAAATTTATTTCCAAATGCCTCAGGAACCATACTACATCGCCAAAGTGCCGAAATATTACACTTTGCATACGCAGTAGAATTGACATAGGCAGCTCATGTACGTATCGCAATGCTGAAGTCTATGAGGATCAGATTTTTCGGTGATTATTCCTTCGTGGCAAGTCCGATTTAAAATTTTTTTTTCTATATCCATCTGGATGTACATACGCATGTGCGTGCAAAATTTGATGAGAATTGGTTGAGTGGTGCATAAGAAAAACGCGGACAAAGAAGTTGCAAAGTCACGGACAAAGTTGCAATGTCAAGTATAAGAGCTTCGCTCAATTAAAGAACACAGATAGAACTTGCGAACAATTGTCAGTTTACTAAATTTTAATTAGCCCTACTTGTCAAATCTTTCAAAGTTGTTAACCCTTTACCTACTGTGGGCACAATTTAGCAATTTCGCAATTTGGCTTTCTGACACTTTACATTAATAATAAAGTCGTAATATTTATACTAATTTAGTTCAAACAAATAAATAATATTGTTTTAATGTAGCGAAATTCAATTTTTTTATTATTGAAAGACGTTTTCACAAAAATCTTTCGTAACTTAGTTACTGTCGTGTGGCACGACTGTTGGGCATTAAAATCTGCCGTAGTCAAGGAGTCAAAGTAAGTAGATTGTTCTTGGTGGTCAGCCAAATCTAACTTGGCTATACAATTTTGCATTTATCTGTATCGCACATGATTATACAATGTATATTCGTACAGTGCATAGTTTAAACATTTATTTCTATTAAAAATTTGTTGAAGTAACCAGAACTTTTCCTACTTGTTCCAGGAATGTCTTTCAATGACTCTCTAATAATTTAAATTTAATTTTAAGAGCAATTAAATTTAATTATCATGAGTTTACAAAACAAACTTTATTATATAAAGATTTACACTTTTGAATAAAGTAGTCATAGTTCTATCAAACAAACCAATAATACAATGATCTACAATTATTTCCAAAAATCGCCTCTTTGAACTTAAAGTTATGAAGGAGGTAAATGGGAAGAAATACACAGAAGCAATTTTGATGATTCATCATTTTATTACAAAACTGTAACTCATATAAAAACCATTGCTATAAAATCTAATAGTAATATTATTCAAATCATTAATATAAATCGTAATTGTTTCCAAAAAATATATCTCTAAACTTAAAGTTTCAAAATATGTAAAGGGAAAGGAGTGTATAAAAAAACGATTATTTTTCAAGTTTCATCAATTTTATTACGAAATAAACTATTTTAAAACTCGAACAAATCTTGT